GAGAAAGGAAAAGCCATAAAGATTGAGCTTTCAGTTTGCTGCCTATTCCAAGGTTGATGCCACCCAGGTTCTAGTCCTCTCTTATTCAGCCCTCTGCTGGAACTGGGAGAAGAAATGAGATCAATCAGAGTGCTTTAGAAATTGAAATGGCCTGAAGGTGACAGAGTAGTGGTTAAGAAGACCACTGAAGTTAGGCATCCCAAGCTTGGATTCTTGGCCACACTCTTTCTAGATCTATGATGTAGGCAAGTTGCCAGATCTGTTTGAAACTCAATTTCCACATCTGTAGAGACAGGATAATACTCCAACTTGCTGTATTGAGAAAAACTTTGCATCTATTAAGTTCTCAGTCCATATTAGCTCTTAAGTAGACAATGTTGTTGTCTTGCCAGTGGATTTCAGCCTCGGGCAAGTTCGCTATGGATTCAATGTGAAATTGACAGCAAAACGTTCTTTGGCGTGAAAGGGTTTATTACCTGGCTTGGTCTCCTGGCAGTAGGTCAAACACTAGCATCTCTGCCTCTGCTTGGAGCATTGGGCCAAGCTCTCTACATAGCCAATAATAGCTTATTGCCTAAAGATGTGAAAGTGGTAGCCTAGCAACAGGCCAGTTACATCATCAGGTGGTTTAAGTTCAGTGAGGACCCTGGCCATAGGAACCCCAACTTCTCCACAGTTGTACAGTAGCTAATTAAGAGTGAAATCTCTAGAGCTAGACTGGCCTAGTTTGAATCTCAACATTGCCACATCCTAGCTGTGTACCTTTAGGCAAGTTACTTAATCTCTCAGTGCTTCAGTTCCCTCCTGTGCCCAAAGGGTATAATAATGATACAGAGTTGACAGAAGGATTAAATGACCTAACATTAGGGTGGCCTAACATCTTAGTTTGCTCAAGACAAGTCCAGTTTATGCCTTCTGTTCTAGTATCCTGGCTGCTTTAGAACTTCCCTACTCCATTGCACTCTCAAAAGTATCCCAGATTGCATTAATAAGTACATGGCCACTATGGTTACTATCTATATCACTTAGAAAAATGCTGTTATCGAGTACATGCTAACTGTTGTTAACTGCTAATAGTAACCCCTATAGCAATACTATCCCATATAAATAAAATGCACACCACATAGTAATTTTTGACCTTCCAGTTAATCACATTTTAAAGAGTAAAAAGAAATAAGGGAATTTAGTGTTAATAATGTATTTACTAATAGATCCAAAATACAAGCATTTAGGAATGTAGTCAGTAGAAGTCATTTATTAGTGGGATACTTTTTTTTTTGATACTAAGTCTTTGAAATCTGCTGTATATTTTTGTATTTACAGTACATCTCAGTTTGGACTAGTGACAATTTAAGTGCCAGTAGCCTAGTAGCCTAGTGACATTTTAAGTGCTCATGCATGGCTAATAGCTATCACACCGGAAAGAGTTCTGCAGACTTTACATTGCTCATAGGAGATGACAGGCCAGTCTTAAGATCCTCCTGAGTCTGTGATGTCAGGTTGAGATGCTTCTCTTTGCCACACTCATGCCCAATTTTGGAAAGTGGGGTCACGAAGTATCTTAGCTCCACCTTCCGAGCAGGTGCTCAAGGTCATGGAGAAGGAAAGTATAGTAGGAACGTACTCTTGGAGAAATCTCTGCTGGCTTCTTGGCAAGTGGAACAACCATGGGCTAACAATGTTTGCAGGTTACTTTATTACTATGGCTTTATTAAATTATGAAAAGCAATGAATGCCAAAGTTATTTTATTAATTTCTCCTATGTCCATTTCCTTCTGTTTGGAAATCTCAAGAAAATACAAAAGTGTTTTTTTCTACGAATATTTGGGTTCTTTTCTGTAGACTGTCTCCTTCCAAACTTCTGATTGTGTTTTTGTTCCATTCTTTGGACTGGATCCAGTATCGCCACATTCCTCTAAATCAAACTGCCTCTAACTGGACCCAGAAGTGCAGTCAGATCCGGACCAACACCAAATAAAGTGGAGGGTTACTTTTTGGCTCTAATGTGATACCTATCTCTATTTCCTCCTTCAAGGTTAGTTTCTTGTTACCCCATGTCTTGCCAATGGGTTTCAGTCCCAGGCAAGTTCACTATGGATTCAGTGTGACCAAAGAAATGACAGTAGAACATTCTTGGGGTGAAAGGGTTTATAACCCGGCTTGTTCTAGGTCGAGCATTAGCATCTCTGTCTCCACCCAGAGCACTGGGCCGAGCTCTCTATATAGTGCAATAATAGCTTATTGCCTATGGGTGTGGAAGCAGTAGCCTAGCAACAGGCCAGTTACATCATCAAGTGGTTTAAGTTCAGTGAGGATCTTGGCCATAGGAACCCCAACTTCCCCACACCCCAACAAGGCTTAGCTTTGGTTCCCCTGATTTAAGAAATTCCTAATAAGTGGAGAACCAATAGTAATGAGAGAGCAAGAAAGAAGAGATGTGATATTATTTAATTTCAAAATTGAAAAGTTGGGCCTAAGAATCAATGAGTTTCTTTTATGCATCTTGCTAAGTCCTGGATAGCAACGCTCTTAGGAGTTTACAATCTTGTTGGTATGATAAGGCTGACCTGCTAGGATGATCAGATAGTGAAGCTTTGCCAAAAAATGTAAGAACAATATAGCTTGTGAAGGCTCTTCGGATTAAGAGAATGTGCTTAGAATGTCAGAGTTGAAAAAATTCTCAGAGGCCATGTAGTTCAGTGTTCTTTACTGATTAGGGAAGTGGGACCAGAAGAGGTTCATATGCTTGGTGAAGTTCAAATGGCAAGTTAGTAAAAGAGAAGGATTAGGAACCCTGGTCCTCTTGCCCTTATTACTACTCCTTGTACTACAGATGTCACATCATACTTACTTGGTTTGGGGGCAATTTCCCTGTAAATAACGAGTTTTACCAATTTTGTTCAGGTTAGATGATCCTTTTATCCTTCCTTTTCCTGAACCCTTTTACCTGGGCCTGGTCTCTACCAAAGAGGTGTTCAATGTACCCTGAATCCAGTTAGTATTTCTAAAAGTCCTAGGCCAAAAAAAAAAAACAATAAGACACTGTTTAATCTTATACTTAACCACCAATCCTTCTGCAGGCATCAGAACTTCAAGCAGGTGGCTTGAGTTTTAGGGGAGAGGAGACCTAGAAAAAGATCTGGGCACACTGGACTGAGTAACTAAGAGTCCTTCCCTCCACAATAACCCGTCACCTAGAGTTGAACTTGCTGGTGTTAGAGGTGGGACTATAAATTAGGGAGAACACAGAGTAAACCCACAAGCCACTCCAGCCACAGAGCTGACACAGGCCAGTGGGCTCATAGGCAGGTGGCTGGGACAGGGCAAGGTGGGGAAAGGGGAAAAGGAGACAGGGCTTCTAGAAGTACAAGGCTGATGACCCTGCCTTACCCAATTATTCTTTCATGTTGCTTGATACTAACTTCTTCAACTTGTCAACTGTTCCTACAGAATACAAATGCAACTTTCCAAGGTGGCATGGCACACCCCATACTATGCTCCAAATCCCACCTTTCCAACTTCCTAGTTTGAAGGAAACTGACCTGCTAAAAGCAGAACAGAAAACTGGCAAGTGGCAGTATTATCACTCGGCCCCCATAAAATAAAAAACTGTACTATAGAAATTGCCAGCATAAACTAAAAAAATTTGCGAATTCACATTTATTTTAGAGCATCATTGTATTTGAGCGAGGGATAAAGGACAGGAAAAGGAGTATGCATCTTGCTTTATACTGGCTATTCATCACCTCTGTAAGGAATCTCTGATACATGCTTAGGAAGTGAAGACTGTGCTTCACAGTTACAGTTCATAATTACACGGCTTTTGCTCCCTATTTGGTAAGTCACTGTTAAAGGTAAAACAGGCTGTTCCCTTGTGTGGGGACAGAAGATAAAGCCTGACAAGTAGGCCATCAAAATATAGCCAAGATGTTATAAACTAAACTGTTATGAGGAATTTCACTTTTGTTGGAATTGGCTTTTTTAAGTTCAATTGACTTACATTGGATCCCACCGGAAAGTACTCATACCATTTATTCCAGAAAGCTTCCTTCCCTGCCCAAAGGATGCCAACCCAGAGAAGGAGGAGCTCTGTTGAATAAACACTTTGTTAGCTATAGTTGGTTAGCGTTATTACTAGAATAAATGGGAAAGCAGTCCCAAATTAAATGGGAGAGCTTTGAAGTCCTTGGAGTTAAAGGCGGGTATCATGACTTAATCATGCTAAACCGGGGCTTAGCGGGCTGGGGAAGAGAGAGAAGCCGAAAGGGGGTAAGGCCCTGCCTCTTTGCACCCCAGCCACTATTTAGAGGGCGTTCCCCATCAGTGCCTCTTCGTTCAGGCTGTAGATTGCTCCTCACTCTGAGCAGAGCAATGCTTAACGCTGTGAATTTTCTCTTGCCACCTGATGAGTGTTAGGAAACAGTCACTCCTACCAACTGAACCATTGGTTCTGTCAGTCCAGAGAACGAATACATTTTACTTTCTGTTCAATAATTTTGGAAAATATCAATTTGATTGTGGTGAGAAGTCTCTTATCAGTGACTTTTGAAACACCCCCTCGGCCACAAACGACTTTGGAAGTTGACCAGAAATAAATACTATTCGAGATCTCATCTGTTCTAAACCCCGGGGTCAGGGCAAGGGTGGTTTCCATTAAGTCCAGGTGATGAGGATAAAACAGACCCACGGGGAAGGGTCCGACGATCCGTGTAACGTTCAAGCAAGTCCCGGACGCCCAGGGAGCGCGCGCACGAGCTGGGGCGGCGGCCGCGCCGGGAGCACCTCCCGCAGGTCCCGGCCGGAGCGCGGGGCCGGGTCACCTGACTTGCGGAATTTGGGGCCGCGCGCCGTGGAGGGGAGGGAGTGGTTAGCAGCTCCCTCCCCGCTCCCGCGGGATCCAGGTCGGCAGGGGCCGGCGCCGGGCGGCCACGTGGTGGTGCCGCCGCTGCCCCCGCCCCGCCCTCCCAGCCCGGGAGCCGCGGCGCCCACTGACCCCCGCAGCGGGGAGGAGGAGGAGGGACCGAGGCGCAGGAAGCCGAGCAGGAAGCGAGCCCGGCGGCCGCGTTTTCCTGGGGAAGCGGCGGGCGGGGTGGCGCAGCCAGCGGGGTCCAGGAGCCGCCGTCACAGCCGCCTCCATGGGGTGAGTGCGCGGCGCCGAGTTGGGAAGCTTCCTGGAGCGGGGTCCCCAGCTCCCATCCCCGCCTTTGTGTCTGGGGCTCGAGCGAGGGAGGCAGCGCGGCGCCGGGGACGGCGCGCCGGGCTGAGCGGCTTGGGGTGGCAGCGAGCGTCCCGCCACCACTCCCTTGCCCGCCGCCGGCCGCCAGCTGTCTGCAGAGGACAGACTTGGGGCAGAGAGAGGGGGGCTGCTGGGGATCCCGATGGAGAGGGAGGACCGGGCCAAGTTAGGAGAGGGGCTCTCTCCTCCCTGCCCCTGCCAGTCGCCGGCGGGCCGGGGCAGGGCGCGGACGGGGGCCGCTGGCGGCCGGGGAGGGAGCGCGGGTGGGAATGAATGACCAGATCCCGGCCGGGCGTTCCGGCCCGCCCAGTCGGCGCTCTGCCCCACCTGCCCGGCCCATCTGGCGCTCCGCTCCCTGCGGGTGCCGGCTTCTGGGCTCGACCCGCCTCCGTGCTGAACTTGGAGGAGCTGCGAAGGAAGGCGCGGGCGGGAGACTCCAGACGGCTCCGGCGACCGAGGGTCCGCTATTGTTCCCTTTCTTACTCCAGGGGGCCCTTCCGTTGGCTCGAGAGTGCAGGCGAAGCCACTCCGGGCCTGCGACTGTATCCCGCTCTTGTCCTTTTGCCCGCCGCAGTCGCGACAAGGGCCGGGAGGAGGGATGCTGGAGTTGGGGCAGACCCGGGGCAGCTGGCACTTGGGGAAGAGGGAGGGCGTGGAGCCGCGCGAGGGGCGCCCGCGGCCAGCTCCAACCTCTGCCCGGCGCCGAGGACTCTCCCTCACCCATCTTCCCTTCGCTGTGGGCTCAGTCAGGCTGGCGGCCGCTGCTTACTCCCAGCCGCGGGCAGGGGTCATTTGCGCACCCCGGGCTCACGCGCTCCTTTCCGTTTGGACCGCGCACTCCCCTTCTGTGCGGGGGAGTGGGGGGAGCTCAGCCGTGAGAGACGGTCTACCGGCAGATGCAGCCGGTGTGAAGTGGAGGAGGTAACAAGTGACCCCCCCACCCCAGCGGCCGGGGCTGTATGCCGAGGCTTGCACTTCTCGGAGGAGCGCTGCTTAGCGCAACTTTATTTCTAGTGATGAGTGGGGCACATCTGCGGACTCCAGGCCGCTCCCCTCGATCCCACGGCTTCCCGTGGCCTCAGGCCCACAGGGTTTTGGACGGGTCTCCGGTTACCTTCCGGGAGAGGAATTTCTTTCCAAGTTGCCCGCAGTGGGGAAACATTGCCGGTTCGCTGGAGAATGTGCCCTCAGGACTGCGAGGGCCCGGCAGAGGGAGGAACTGGTTTTTAGTAGGACTCTGCAGAAGCTCAACTTAGCGAGGAAAGTCTTCTCTCTTTGAGGTTTGGACAAAGTCGGAGAAGAGAGTGCGGCGCGCGAGGGCTGAATTTTGATTGCTCTGCGCCCAGTCTCCCGGGGCCCAGTTCACAGGTGTGGCTGGGAGTTTTATTACTGATGGATGTAATCTGATCATCTTTTCTTAATGATGCCTACCAGTGTCATATTTTCTCCCTTGGGCTTGTAAAATACATTTTATGTCAGGAAAACTATCCAGTTATCATTTTTTTTTATTAGTGCTTGCGTAACAGATTCGGAGAGGTGGTCCCTTGTTGGGCTGTCGAGATTTTTGCATCTTCATTCATTGAGATGCTTTATTAATGAATTTGTTGTATCATTTACTTCCTTAGATTTGTTTTATGGCTTTTTGGGGGCAGTGGTTATAACCCTGTTGAAAAATTTTATTATCTGTGAAATTGAATAACAAGATTGAAGGCTGGGCCCCGGAGACTCCACGAGAACATGATACACTGGTCCCTGCCCCAAAGTACCTGGCAATGGAGTTCTGTCTCCAGACTGCCGCTTCTCAAAGCATCTTCCACGCAGGTGCCCATAGTATCATTCCCATTTTACAGGTGAAGACATGGAGGCTTGGAGATTACAGAATGTTATGGAGGTGCTTTGTTTCTCTGTCTGCCTTTCAAAATAAAAAGTATAAAATATTTCAGACATAAGTAAAAGAATATAGTGAGGCTTCCATTTTTTCCACTACTTATATTTACGAGTTGCTTATCTTTCCATGTTTGCTTTGTATCTCCCCAGTAGAAATAAACTGCAACTACAATATTTTATCCAGACCTTCTCCTTTTCTTCCTCCTCCACCCTTAGGTAATCACTAGTGTGAAGTATACATAGTTTCCAAACATGTTTTGGTACTTCTTTATATTCTATATCCAAGAGCAGTATCTGCCAGCTTGTGTATTTAATAATTTTACATAAGTGGCATGATTCTGTACACATTGCTTGCATTTTTTAATTTGTCATTATGTTTTTAAGGTACATGTAGATCTTGCACTGCTACAGAGAAGTCTGGTGTATGAGTAAATTATAATTTACTTACTCCCTTGTCAAGAGAAAATTAGAGTGTCTCTAGTTTTTCACTGTTACACTTTTTTTTTGCCAAGGACAGTTGATCTGTTTCCACTTTTTTACTGTAATCAGCAGTGCTATAATCATCTGAGACCTGTTTCTTGTGCACAAGTTTCTGTTACATATCTATACAGTTAGTGGACAGTGGGCTCTTGGTAATGCTGCATTTTTTTCTTTCATTCCTCAACGAATATTTAGGGTGTATATAGGGTCATTCTTGGTTATTTGTTGATGAAAAAGGGAAATTGATCCATTTTTAAATCTAACAAGAGCATGTTGGCAGGATTCTTTTGTTTTTAATTTTCTTTTTTTTTAAATAAGAAAAGTGCCTCAAACTATAAAAGTGAAGCGTGGGACAAAGCTGGTGGTGAGTTTGGATACTCATTCTGAAGGCTTTTCTCAGCCAGTCACTGGCAGTGTAACCTAGGAGTACTGACTCAACCTTCTCTTCCTCGTTTTTTCAAGCTTGGCAAGATTAAGGTGTTTGAAGAAGCTTTGTAGGCTTGTTACTACTCTAAGCATTTATGAAAATGAGGCTGTGTTAATGACAGTTTGCTCCTAATTGCAATCCCTTAATCTGGAAGCAGTTTAAGGTATTTAAACACATCATCTTCCTCATTGTTCCTGCAAATTGCCAGGCACATTCCTGCCTCAGAACCATTGCATTTGCTGTTCCCACCGTCTGGCCCACTCGTACCTCTGTGGACATGCTCCTCAAGTCCTCAGGTCTATCCTCAAGACACCATTTTAGCAGACCTTGTCCAGCCACCCCCTTACAGCATGCCCAGCCCCTCTGCTTTATTTTCCTCCATGGCACTTAATCACCTTTTGCCATATATTTTAATTTATATTTGCAGTCTGTCTTTCTGCACTAGAATACAAGTTCTGTGAATATGGAGTTTTGTCTCTCTTCTATACCTGCCATATCCTTAGGGTCTAGAACAGTGTTATTAGTAAGTATTCAGATGTTTGCTGGATGAATAAATGTAATTTTTTGATGTGTTTTTCTACTTGGAATTTCTCCTCTAGCATATATGTGATACCCTAAATGGTGCTGGTTGTTCCGCAGTTGTAATTGAGTGCCACAGATGTCATCTTTACCAGTTCCATCGGATAAAAAACACATCTATAAAGGAAGCATGCTATTTAAATCTGTGTGATTTATCCCACAAAGCACTTGTAATATTTTTTCTGCCAACATTTGCCTAAACCTGAATTCAGAAGAAAACCTAAGTAACATGGTGCTGGGAAACACATCCATTTTTCCTTTTCTTGATAACTTAGTTTTCCAACATTTTAAGTGTGGAAGATGCCATGGGATGGTGACTGTCCATTTCACACAGTGTCTATATAAACAGGTCAGCAATGGTCCCAAGTAATGATAACCACACTGAATTTCTAAGAAAAGTACATTTCTCTGAATTATTGCAGAGGGTATATTTATCATTGCTTGACTTTGTGTATTATTGTGAGGGTTTTTATTTTTCCTTTCCCCCTTGGAGGAGGGGTTGATGACCTTAATCTGAAGATCTAGGAGTAGTCAATATATAGGTAGTAGGGTACCAAAAAATACTTTAAAAATGGTCACATCATCAAATCCTTATGTCAGGTACTGAAAATATTCACTGTTGTAGTACCATGCGATATTTTGCTAGAAACCAACTGAATTTTCTCTACCTTGCATGATGAATATAGGAATTGACAAAACAAAATATATCAAAGGCCTCTTGGGTATATTTTAAATGGGTGATAGGGAAAACAAGTCTAAAATTTTTTCCCATTAACAACTTATATAGGTATATGATACTGATGGTATCCTTTAAAAAAAAAACACTGGTCTATTGAAGTACAACTATTGTATCCTCTGTAACAAAATGATATTGAAAGAAATCAGTTTATTACAGATCAGATAAGCTGAAAACTATAAGCATAAATTACAGGATTATTAGGATGCTGCATGATTTAGGTATTTCTTCATTTTGGTTTGTTACTACCCATGAGCTAAGAAAAGAAGCATAGGCAGTTTAATGAAGGAGAAAGATTGTTATCTATCAGTTTCCCAACTCCCAGCCATCTATAATGAACAAAAACTAGTCTTGGATAGCTCACTGATGATGGGTATTAGTAAATTTAGTTCATATTTTAATAAGTACTTTACAGACTTAACTGTGAGGTTTAAAACAAGACAAAGTATTCTTCCATCTGAATGAAGTATGCTTCGTTCTTTCATTTTATACTGTATGTGTCCAGTGGAGTATCTGTCATAAAGTGGGTGATTAACCTTTATGGAGATAAACACAGTGCCCAGGCGTTCTAAAGCCCCTCACGTTGCTCATCTGATACTGAACTATCCTAGTTGAGGAGAATGTAAGCAATAATCAAAAGGTAGAGGAGTGAAGGTAGTTAGCAGCAAAATGCAGGCTGGAATTCAGAAGTTGTAGTTTTATCTCTGTAGGCAAGTCACTTAACCTCTCTAAGCCTTGGTTTTCTTAGTTGTAGTAAGAAACACCTTTCCTCTCTGTCTGCCTTTTGAAGAAGTC